AATAAACATCTGGAAATGTAACATGTCAATAGTCCAGTGATGGAAGAAGAAATAAATTGCGCTAAAGGATGAAGTGGTCTTGAAAGGCTTAAGCTTTTGCCTTTAACGTGATTCTCCCCGACTTAGAATACCTACACTGAGGGCAACACTAGTCACATTCTTACTATATTACAGTTTTGTGGCTAGTAATAGAAGCATTCTCAATATCCTGTAATATGACAGTCATGGCAACCTGAGGGGTATGTGCCCAATATAGTAATCATGGATGAGAGAGATAAAGCAAAGATACAGATTTGATTTGTTTTCGAGTTATTTTGCGCCCCACTAAGTTTGACAAGTAATCTGAGACATTCAAAAAGTCAAACTGCAAAACTCACCACACGGCGGCCTGTTAGGCACAACCAAAGGCCTAGGGGAAGCAGCTGTGGAACAAATGGGCGGTGGAACCGATGAAGGCTGCTGCCAGGTGACCGAGTGGCTGCCAGCAACCATCTGAGAACATACGGAATTCGAGGTGGCCGACATGAGTGAGGCGACGATTGCACCACCATGTGCAAGAATCGGTGTCGTGCCTGCACTGCATGGACGAGTGGGTGCCAACAAAAGGCCGCCGGAGCCAAGAGCTGAGGGTGGCTGATGAGACTGCGGGAGAGGTCTGGCGGAAGTGGGAGAGAAGCGACCATTCGGGGTGCAAGGGGCGCTGGGAGTACCAGTCTCGCTCGGACAAGTGATACGACCAGGAGAGTCGCCAGAGAGGCTGATCTGACGCAGTGGAACAGACTGTGACAGCGAGATTGTAGCTGAACATGGAGGCATGGGTATATGCATGCCCGTGCCATTGTTGCCGCCACCATTGGAGGTGAGAGGAGAGGTGTTCGGTCTGACGCCGGCTGTAGATGAAACATTGGAATGAACAAAGCCGGAGGGAAGAGACGCAGAGGAACACGGCCCATTCATGCAGCCGGATCGGTGGGGCAAAGGAGAACACACACTTGTCGACAGTGGAGGCATCAGGCTGCTCGAGTCGTCTGGCATCCATCCAATGGAACCACTCGACAAATTGTTTCCGGGTTGTGGAGGATGCTGAGAGAGACGGCCTTCATAATGCAAGTAAAATAGAGGAATTGAGGATGTGAAGACCAAGATGGTGTGGACCTAGAAAGGACACACGTGAACTTGGTTTAAATAGGCAAGCAAGAAATTGTGATAGTGAAGGGATGATACGAGGATATGGGACGGAATGAGAGATACCACTGTTTAGCAGACAATTGGTCAAAAGATCGACTTTACTTGTCTCTTTGACGAGTTGCTGTGTTGAGCTAAGAACGAGAGGGCTGACTGGATGCAGACGAAACGTCTGGAAATGTACCAAGTCCACGGTCAAACGCTGGAATTTATGATAAATACCATAATAGGGAACTTCGGGCAAGATGAGCTCCTTTAGGTCACCCTGACAATACGAGCAAGTGGCGAAAACAGGGTCATAACAAGGTAATGTTAAGATTGACACATCACAAGCTATACATGGAGTATTTAGAATTTCGGTCTGAATTTTGATCAGTAAGCAAGAGTTTATTAAAATCTTTTAAACAAAGACTTATCTAAAAGCCGGATAGGAGACTCTTTGACGCCATGTCATTGTCGATAGAAGACTTAAGGCCTGATGGAATTTTCTCATCTGCACATTCAGGAAGTTCATGCGACAGGACACCGCTCTAACACGAAAAGGATGGTGCATTCAGATTAAGATTGTGAATGAGGACAGCTTTGTAACGGTTCAAGTTCGAGGAGAGGCAAACGATAATTAAATGGCGATGTAACTTAAGCTCAACCAGCTTGTTTGTCGTTCGAAAGAAGATACAACCCACTGCCATCAAGGACGCGAAACCATATTTAAGTATGTTGAGCTAGACAGGCAAACACGATAGGAGTGCTGTGGACAGTGGACTCAAAAGAATGCATGCAAGAAATGACAGTAATTTCAGTCGGCGGATTAAATTATTGCCTAATTAATGTCGTAAATCTGTTGAATCTAACAATGCATCATGAGATAAAAAGGCCAAGACGAGCAAATAGGTAAAATACCCGTTGCTGAGGTGAAACAATGAAAGGTTAAGTATGTATTTCGACCAAATTTATGGCGACTTGCGGAATTATTAAGTAATTTGATATTTTGATTATGACCTGAATATGCAATCAGCACAAGGATCTTGTTTTTCAAAAGTAATTTGCTCAAGCTACTTCGAATTGAGGCTGAACACTATTGAATAATAATGAGGAACGTAAGATGGTATAAATTAGGCATAGGTAAAGTAAAAACAGAAGATAAGGTTATAAGTGATAAAAGGGTAAAAAGCTAAACAGTTAACTTGAGAAATTATATGAGCATATGTAAGTTAGGGAAAGAGAAGATTAGTGCAGAGATGGAATGAAAAGTTAGTTTCAAGAAAAAATAAAGTCTAGCGTAAGGAAGCAATGAAGAAGTGAATAGAAACGAATGAGTCAAGTAATTTGGTCATTTAATACCTAAAAGCGAAAGCTAAACAATGGAAAATTAAAATAATGTAGATTCAGAAGGCAAGTTAAGACCTTTGGGAAAAAAGATTTTCCAGCTAAAAGACACAATATAACTAACGGGAAAATATTGCAGGAGTATACTCAAGATATATGATTGGATAAAAGTGACAAAGTTAGAAGCATCAATAAATTCTTACATAGTAAGATAAGTAACTAAGCTTCCGAATATGAGACATGCTAGTTTCGTTGGGACTACCAGTAGACCATATATGATAGGTATACACTCTGTTCACACATAACCCTGCTTCCCAAAAGGTATTCTCATCCAGACAGGAGTGGACTGCATTTTCGACCTCACCTAGGTTCTGATATGATCTAGACAATGTCGAAAATGCAGTCCAGTTATACCTGAATAAAAATACATTTTGGGAAGCATGGTTGTGTGAAATTTAATGAAAAATGTAAGGTCTGTCCATCTGATAGTGGAAAAATTCAACTACCGGTCCTTCCTCATCCTATCTAAGTAGAGTGAATACACCTAATATGTCTGGTAGTAAATTTTGGTAAAGTTGTGAACAAAATGGGAAAACTACAAATTATAGAATAGTGCGACGAAGACATGGAGCTAGATGAAATTTGGTGAAAAAAACCAAATAATAATAAAGAAAATATCAATCTACAGTAAGAATAATCAACACTAAAGGATAAACAAGAACACCAACAAGCACAAAATGCAATCTGAAGGCGAAGTAACTAACAGGCAACTTGTACCTGCTTTGCCTATTAAGGAGGTAATATTGGTGGTAAGACGGTTGTGAAATAAACTCCGAGGCAGCACGGTTCTTAGGATAAATTGGAAAAGAGCAAAATGAAAGTACTTAAATGAATTTAGATAAAAATGGGAAAAAAAGAGACTTGGAGAGAACCGTCAGATGTCTTTTTGGATGAGGCACAGACAGTCTGGGAATTAGGGGCGAAGACAGCTCAGAAGACGACGAGGAGAAAAATGCGACAGCCGTGCATAGAGTAAACAGACTAACTGAATGGAGAG